TGGAGACTGAAGTCCAGACGCTTACCGCTCTGTTGAGCATAACAAGAGCCAACCGGTTCCCTCCAGGCAGCACCACGATGGCCTCTGTGAGGAGGAGAAAGGGCCTGCTCCTTCCCTGAGCTTGTCTGAGGTTGCACCCAGCTGGGGGAAAAGGGATGGGAGGGGGGCAGACAGGGGCCCAGTTGTGCATTTCAGCGATGATACAATAATACAGACTCGGCCGTCTGCGTGTGTCTCTTAGTTATGAAATATGCCCTCGATCTCAGGACAAGGGATCATTTGGGGTGAGAATTTGGACCTACAGCAAACTGGGGTCTCACCAGAGCAAGAGCATTCACATCAAGCAATAATCTGGCCTTTCAAATATTGCAAGAAACAACCTTGGCCCATTCTCAGGGAGAGCCAAAACACTTCCACTTCACACACAAACCACCAGCTCTTTGCGCAAAGCTTCTTATTAATACAGTGACCCTTGCATCTCCGCCAGCAGTTCCTCCATCTCCCTGTGATGGGGAAAGCAAAGAGGTGATGGGATCCTCTCACCCAGCAGGGAAAGCTCCAGTGTGGGCTGGCATGGGGGCAAGCACAAGGCAGAGAGGGCAGCTTCTACCCCTCCCTTGTCCCTCTGTGTCCCCATTGCATGGCCAGCTGGAAACATAAGATAAGGAGAAGATGTGGAAGCCGTTTCCCATGTCCTCCCCGGCACACGGCAGGTCGTGCCACCCCATCCGTCCCCTGCTGACACTGTTGCCCCACACGATTGCCCGGTGAAGGCCGCGGCACAGCCGGGATGTGTCCGCTGGGCACAGTGACGCCTGCGGGCGAAGGGGACACAAGGGGAGCGCTACAAGCGGGGCCCCACTGCCGCACCGCTTCTTTCTCTGGGAGAAAACGGTGCCGCCGCAGCTGCAAAATGTGCTGACCTCAGCAGCGGGTCGGTGCCCGGAGGGGTTCCCCCTCCCCAGCGCCAGGAGCCCTGAGCGGTAAAGGCACTGCTGCCATTGTGCGGCAGGATTGGATGCTTCCATGTATTCATTTCGGTTTAATGAAGGCGCATTCCTCAGAGGAGAAATATTTACATTCAGCTTCCCAGGTGGTCACCTTCGCCCAGATGACACACAAACAGGCAGCCCCCCGCTCCCTTTTCCAATCCAAACCTCTTTAGAGGGCTCGGGGAGGAGGGGAGCAAGGGGAGGGGGGGCTGCTGGCGGAGCAGAATAGAGAAGGGAACGAAATGCTAATAAATCAGCCAGCCAGCCCTTTTCCCCTCCCCTCTGTGGAGTCAATGGAAAGTGTCATTTCACATGCTAATCCCCCTCAGCTCTCTTCACAACACCTTTTCCGAAAAGTGTTTGGGAAAAGTCCTTGTGGCCCGTTTACAGCTCCCTGCCGCTTCGGATTCCTTCTTGTCTAAGGCCGCGGCCCCGTGTGGGTCTCTCCCTCCAGCGGGGCTCCTTACAAAAAAAATCTCAACAAAGACTTTGGAGTTCATCAGCCTCCCACTGAAATTCACAGCTGCTGAACAAACTAATCCCCTCTCTTGGCCTTTCTTCCTTTCAATGGGTTCTTGGCTTCAAAGACACTTTGGGAAAGGACTTTGTGGGGACTCACACTGCTCCCTCAATAGAAGTTAGTGCAAGCATTATCTTCAGAGCAAGTGGCTTTACAAACAAATACTGCCTAACAATCTCTGCCCCTCCAGCTCCCCCAAACACACACAAGCCTAGCCTGCAGACATGATGTTATCTGCAACAGGATTAGAGCTCTGTTCTCTGTGCCCAGGGATCCTTTCCTACCACCTTCCCCTCCCCACCCCCCCAATTCTTTGTCAACCCAAAGGCCTCCTCACCCAGCAGAAAATGCTTTCTCTGTCAAGCGGTGCAGGGATGCTGTAGTACCCTGTGCCCACATGGGAGGAGGACATACCAAGCAGCCGCTGCCCGTAGACCAGAAGCTGTTAGCAGCCAGCAGAGAGAATGCTATAAATGGAGAGGTGCTTCGCAGTGGGGTCTGCGAGGGCATACACCGCACCGGGGGCACAGAGGTAGATAGGGTTTCTGCCAGGAGCCTCTCAAAGACCCTCGAGGAGGTCATCTCACTC